AATTAGTTTGGATCCTCCTGCTCTCCTCAGTGAAGCTGAAACAAAATGGCTGTTACAGAAGTATTTTTGCGTGCCAGCAGAACATGCACAAACACCTTCCCTGGAACAGCCAGCAAGGTGATCGGCCTGTAGCTCTTATGTTCACTGCACTGTCCCTTGCTCTTCTAAAGTGAGATCACAATATCGTCCTTCCAGGCGGTTGGCAAGGTTCCAGTTCTCCACATCAGATGAAAGATGGCCAGAGGTGATTCCGCTATAGAGTCAATAGCGCGTTTTAGCAGCTCTTGGGGGATGCCATCAGCACCCGCTGTGCATCTCTTTTCAGTTTACAGGTGGTGCACTTCATAGAATATCAGGGTTGGAAGGGACCTCAGGAGGTCATCTAGTCCAAGCCCCTGCTCAAAGCAGGACCAATTCCCAACTAAATCATCCCAGCCAGGGCTTTGTCAAGCCTGACCTTAAAAACCTCTAAGGAAGGAGATTCCACCACCTCCCTAGATAACCCATTCCAGTGCTTCACCACCCTCCTAGTGAAAAAGTTTTTCCTAATATCCAACCTAAACCTCCCCCACTGCAACTTGAGACCGTTGCTCCTTGTTCTGTCATCTGGTACCACTGAGAACAGTCTAGATCCATTTCACTTCATCCAATGTTGGTGCATCAGTACAAGTGTCTGGGTCTGGAACTGCTGTGGCTGCCGGGTCGTCCTGCTCTGAGCAGGCAGCAGTTGAAAGGTGGTTCAGGGCACTGTGATAATGTTCCATCCAGCGTGAGAGGATGTCATCATCCGATTTAAGTGAATGGCTTTGGATGTTCAGGATGCCGTTTGTAGCGACTATCTCCTGACCACTGAGGTTGCAGATCACGCAAGAATGCTGGCTTTAAGTTGCTCCTAGCTAAGCCAATTTCAACATCATCTGCGACGTGGTTATAATGCCTCGTGAATGAAGGGGGTGCTAACCAAAAAATTGTCTGGTTTGGTTGCACAGCTCAGCTCTAACACACTGTTAAGTTTGTGCAGGCCACATTCTTTTATACATTTTTTTTAATAGTTTTTTTTTCCATCTCTGAATCTGGCTTTCTTCTACAGATTTCTATTATCCCCATCACAATGCTATCTAGTCACTAACCGGCTCCTGTTAATAAGTGAGCAGCTAAACACTGAAGTATACTTCTGGGTTGACTACCTACAGTTCCCCATTCAGCAATTTATGCAAAAGTCCAATGAAGTATTCTTTAGATTTGAATGGAACAAATCAGTATGCTCTTTTATTAATAACAAGTGAAAGTGTCATTCATGATACGTGCATTCTGTCCATTTGTGGTTATAGGATGGGAGTGTGTTTAGTTTAGCCTTATATCAAGCTGAAATCCTGTATGTTGAATGGTGATTGTTCTGGACTTTTCCTAAGATATGAATAAACTTTGTTAAGCAGATGAGCTAGGTCATGGATACTGAAAGAATTACTGTTAAGTAATCATCATTTGCCAGATATATACTGGAACCTCCTTGAATTAATATTCTTGTAAATATTCATTATAAGTACCTAATGATTCACCAATGAGATCCTTTATAAGTTAATTTTGTCTTATTTCAAATGTGTTGCTACATAAAACAGTAGCTTCTTAAATTATTTTAGAAAGTCAAATAAGGCATTTTACATGCCAAAGCTAGAGTTCGGGGCTCTTGCAATACATCTATAGCTTCCCACCTCTGTACTTCAAATTTAGTAAAAATTTATATGTTGTTTTATACCATTCACAATTAAAACTTTCTTTCTTAAAAACAAACAAACACAAAAACCAACAACTCAGACATATCCTGGGCCCTTATTGAAGGCTAAGTACGTAGCCAGTTTTGCAGCCGTAAAATTCAACTGTTTTTGAATTATCACAGTGCAAGGTGAATGACAAGTTGGCACAATTAAAAATGGCTCTTCACATTCTAATATTCAAGCAACAGAAGACATTTCCAAAGCATCTTTTGGGCTGATTGAGTTACCTAAATGTTGAGTTACCAATTAATTGTTTGGATGCATCCTAACTGCATGTTCTGGGGAGGCAGTTTGTGCTCCCTCCCTTTTAACATTTAAATAGATATCAAGAGATATTCAGAGTTGCCACAGTTGATTTTGATGATGGAAGGGATATTAAACCTTGTGCTTCAGGGTTTAAGCCAATCTCTAACTATGAGACCTATATTATCCCATAGCTGCCTACTGCAGGGTTCTTACATGTTCCTCTGAAGCATATGGTTCTGGCCACCGTTGGAGCCAGGATACTGGCTTGGATGGACTTTGGATCTGATCCAGTCTGGCAATTCCTGTGTTCCTAAATTCTTAGTGTTGGCATCATCCTGGTCCATCATTTGTTTTGCACATACTATGGTTAGCTGCCCCCCCCCCTTTTTTTTTTTGAGACAGCCCACAAACTACTTAAGAATGGGAATCCGACACAGATTATCTTTTTAGGAAAGGGGTCTTTTACCTCTTAATTTATCTGAAAATAATCTTTTGCAAGATTCTCACTAGCCTGCCCTACTTCTGCTGTTTGGAAGGAAATCTCTTGGAATATTGCTTTTATCGCTGTAGCTGGCTGGTTGTTGTCCTAGTCTGAACACATCTTTACAGAAGTATGCTTATTTAGGTGAATATTTATATAGGTGAATAGTTACAAATTTGCCTATTCTAGAGACTCTAGCGAAACTGTATAATTTTATCTTGAAAAGTGACTGAGCAGCTAAATGAATTCCATGTTTGTGTCAATGATTTCCATATCACTTTTTGTCAGCCTACCAGTAAAAAGATAGCTTTCCCATTTGACAACTTTGAAACCTAAACGTGGAATCTGAAAATCTTCAGTTTTTGCTGATATCAGTAATAACAACTCAGGCCAAATTCACCATCATTACATATGTGTAACTCAATGTGGTCTGCTTGGTAGCACAAGTGTAATAGCAGAACTCAGCCCTATATTTTGAATGTGGTAGATTCTATTTGATTCAGGAACCAGAATAAACCTAGATGATTTTTAGTGTGTTGACTCTGTCCAGTTTAATAATAGTAGTAGTAGTGTGTGTGTGATTTTTAGTTAAGCAAGCAGATATGACTATAAGCACACATTAGGAGCAGAACTGTCAAGGAAGATGGTTCCGTTTTTATAGTCCTTTTTTGTAGCAGAAGCACAAAAGATTTATAAAAACAAAACTGAACTAGTGGAAAAATATGGTGTCAACATAGGCATTGTCAGTACTCTATAAAGATGTTTTACTTAAACCAGTGCAAAACCTCTTCTTGCTTTGGTTTAAGAGTGGCTTATTTCAATTTATACTAAACCAAATTTAGCCTGTTTTAAACTGATACTAGATTGTTCAGACCCTTTTGCACCTGTTTAACTAAATTGGTTTAAAATCACACCTTAAGTTAAACTGATGCAATCCTGTATGTAGGAAAGCCCTTAGAGCAAGTTGGAGCATCCGGGGGAGAAGTTCTCTTCAGTCATCTCCCACTTCATATAAATGAACTACATGGTTAAAGATTTCATTAGTTTATCGTTGGTCACACCTGGTTATACTCATCAAAAACAGATACAATTTTTTGGGTGTAGATGTGCGAGTCTTGACTGCATCCAAAGCACCTCCAGTTTTTTTCTTTATTTTATCTGATTTATTTCTATACCACTGCAACTTTATGGTAACGATTTTAATAGTTTAGGATATTCAAATGTGTAACTCCTTAACAACTCAAACTCTGATCCCTTCTGGCTGTTCAGTAATTGTATTGTATTGTGCTGTGTAGTGTTTAATGCCTTAATAGATTTGTAATGTAACTAACTTATGGATGTTCTAATTTGTCCTAACTCCCTTATTTAAACCATAACACATTTACATAGTTTTACCATTTAGCTATTTCAAAAATAGATGTAAATGACCACGCTAGTGAATATTTTTAGATGTATAAGATCATGCTTAGAAATACAGTAACCACAATTGCATTTTATTTCTTAGGGAATATATATATGTGGCTTGGTGTTGATATATTTGGATGTATGTATCTTTGGGGCTTTATTCCTCATGATAAAAGTGAAGCATCTGGAACTGTACCTGGGTACCTTATTTTCAAAAAGAATTTGACACATGTCAAATAAATTTGTCTTGCATTAAGACAGAGACTGGAATTTTCTTTTGAAATCCAGCCTAAATCTCTAAATTTGAAATTTATGAGCTATTTTAGCTTTAAAATAGCTGTTTATATTTAATTGGTGGAAAACATTCTTGCTCAGTTATCTGAAAAATTAACTTCATCAAACTGTGCCCACAATTCATTTCTAGACTGAGATTAAACAAGAAATTACATGCCAAAAGGTAACTTCTACAGAAAGTTTATAAGCACCTGAAAAAGCATCTTCTCAATTATAATGTTGCTACTATTCTTAACGTATTTTGTACGTTTATCTTGTAAAGGAAATGTAAATTTTTAGCATGGATTTCTCTTGATTTTGGAATACTTACGTGATGTCATCTTTGCTGCTACTCTTTGCAAACACTCATTTCGTTTTTGAATATTCCATGTCAACACCTGGATGACTGTAGCTGCATATACATTGTGCAGTGCAAGGCAGTCAACAAAATTTGCTATAATTAAAACTCAAATAGAAAATTTCTCAGAAATGTGTCTTAACCTTACTGGACATTCACAATTTGCATGCAAAATCAGAAAAGTTTAAGAAACTGAGGAAACTGGACAGATGAATATTGTTCTCCATTTTGAATGCAAATTTTCTCTAATAAGAACTTAAACTGATGTGGTATACAACTGCAATAAAGTGTGCTCTGAGAAGTGCTACTAAAATATTCTTAAGGTTTACATTCTCAAAGTTTGTTTACTTGGAAGATATTTGGTTTTGGGGAAGAGAAGTACTTCATCTTCTAACAGTCCTTTCATCTCCCTACCTTCCTCCAAAAATCTTAATTTGCTCTTAAAATTCTTTGTTTTCCACAGTTCATCAAAACTCAGTTGTTGAACACATTCCAGACTCCTTGGATGCTAACATAACGTAAGTGCCCTTAAAAAATCTTTAACTGTGTTACTACTCTGTTCCTTGTAGTACCCTTTTAAAACTAGGTGGGAAAAATAGCCTTTCAAAGTTCCTTCATGAAATAACTTTTTATTCTTCTTTTCAGTGAAATAAAAGCAAACAGCGCTTGTGTTGGTTTTGTTGTTGAAAATGTTGGTCAGTTTGTGACTGGGAATAAGATTAGAAATGAATCAACCTTGTTGGAATCAGCTGTAATCTTGTGGCTTCTCTCCATCAAAATGTTCAGTTTCTTTAGAATAACACTCAGTACTTTTTTTTTTCCTGCTAGGAAATCTCCAAAACAAGTACTGTTTAAAAATAAATAAATTAAAAAAAAAAAACTTAAACCCAACAAATCTACTACATAAGTTATGTCCATCTCTCCAGTTCCATGATGTCCATGCCTTCTTCTTTATATTAGGCAGTGTATTGACATTGACAAGATTTCTGCTCAAAACACTTCAGAATACTTGTTCATAAGAACAGATCAGACCGACAAAGCACCGGTAAAAATGCATGCTTTCAATCACAGTAAACCATGAATTTATGGGTCGGCTGCCAAAATTGAGGACCCTAGAGATTAAAACTACTGCAACTCATCTTTGGAGGCTTGAAAGTTGACAGGTGGGTTTGCCTGTCAGCCTAAACTTGGCTGCTTCTCTGGAGTTTATGCTATTACCACTTTTAAGTACCACTTTTGTCATTAAAGATCTCAAGACACTTTTTGAGAGATGGGGCATTAACCCTGGTGCTGTTGCTTGAATTGCCATTCTGGTAACTACTCTATGCCTATATCAAACTCCCCTTGCAGATGATTACAGTATTTTGCACTTCCTGTCCTATACATGTATCCATCTGCTGTACAGTGATCATAGAAATCATAGGACTGGAAGGGACTTGGAGAGGTCATCTAGTCCAATCCCCTGCACTCATGGCAGGACTAAGTATTATCTAGACCATCCCTGACAGGTGTTTGTCTAACTTGCTCTTAAAAATCTCCAATGATGGAGATGCCACAACCCCCCTAGGCAATTTATTCCAGTGCTTAACCACCCTGACAGCTAGGAAGTTTTTCTCAATGTCCAACCTAAAATGCCCTTGTGGCAATTTAAACCCATTGCTGCTTCTCCTATCCTCAGAGGTTAAGTAGAACAATTTTTCTTCCTCCTCCTTGTAACAACCTTTTATGTACTTGAAAATAGTGGAGGGCATGGATCAGTATTCACGTTACTATCTGTCAGTACCCGGCCCGAGCCGGGGAAGATAGGATCCAACCAGCTGACCAAATTCAGTGATGAATCCTAGTCACACGCCACCCATGGCACGTTGCACATATTCTAAGAAGATATCCTCTCACAGTCTTCTACAAACTAAACAAACATCTTTCCTGAAATGTGGCACCCAGAACTGGACACAATAATCCAGTTGAGGCCTAATCAGCGTGGAGTAGAGCGGAAGAATTACTTCTCGTGTCTTACTTACAGCACTCCTGCAAATACATCCTAGAATGATGTTTGCTTATTTTGCAATAGTGTCACACAGCTCATTCCATATTTAGCTTGTGATCCACTATGACCCCCATATCCCTTTCTGCAGCACTCCTTCCTAGGCAATCATTTATATACAAGGGGATGAAAATTTAGCACCATATGAGAGCGGTGTGAACAGCTGGCTAGGTACAGTTGCTGTGGGAACCATATAACTTTGAATTTCATGGTTATTGTGCGTTTAAAGGAGAGCTTCAGAGGTGTTGATTATACTTGTACATTTCAAAAAAGGAAAAGTACAATGTTTAAAAATATAACAAGTGTTCTATTTTAACACAACTACTTGAAGTCCTGAAAAATCTAAATTGCAGATGTCTGGTTTCATTTCCAGAGTGAGCAACACCAGATACCTTAACAAAAGGAATTAAATTAGGGGTTTAGAATAGAAAGGCTGTTTCAAACCTTTGGTTTGAAACATTATGCATTCTAGTAGAGTAAACAGTCTAGATTTATCTGGAGCTAAAGGAAATGGTAACTATTATAAATCTTGATTTTAAAAACACATTAATGACATTTCTCCTTTGTATTTAGACACACCTGTTCTCACACATGATCTTTCTGTCCTGACAGCAAATGGAAAGCAGCAAAGGTGTTAATCACTGTTGATGCTAGATCCAGAAAGCCTCTCTCAGCACTCTCCCTGTGTGCTCTTCTGAGAGCCAGAGAACCAGAAGATACTCCCACAATAGCTTTACTATTTTGAAATCTACTCCTGAGGCTCCCCTCTAAGCACACTCTGGACATTCAGTGACTTAGGGCTTGTCTACATGGGGAAGTTGCTCTGGAATAAGGTAGGGTGTGAATTTAAAGCACAGTAGCTATTCCAGAATAGGTCACTGTATGGAAATTCTTACACTGGAATAAGTGTGTCCACATAGAGAGAGATTCCAGACTAGCTGTTCTGGAATAGTTTATTCCACAGTAGCTATTCCAGTCAGTTTCCCTGTAGGCACGCCCTTAGTGGCCTGAAGTAGCCAATTAAATGGCACTACACAAGACCACTTGCAGCATGCTGCTCACCTTCCCGTCCTCACCACAAGATTGGTAAAACAGCATGTGGGAGTAGCCGGGAAGCAGGGGGAGTCTCAACAAAGAGCTACTAGCTGTGTTGAAGGGGACTGCTGCAAATGGGAATCCAAGCGCACATAAACATCAAATCTTAGTACACCGCTACCTCAATATAACACCACCTGATATAACACGAATTTGGATATAACGCGGTAAAGGGGGGGCAGGGCTGTGCACTCCGGTGGATCAAAGCAAGTTCAATATAACTCGGTTTCACCTATAACGCGGTAAGATTTTTTTTTGGCTCCCGAGGACAGCGTTCTATCGAGTTAGAGGTGTAATAAGCAGCACGGATAGTGGTGAGTTCAGAGAAGGGAAGGTTACCATGTTACAGCAAGTGGCCTTAGAGCAGCTGCAGCTGCTTGGAAAGTGAGCTATGGCTTATAAAGGTTGTATGTATGCTGCAGTTAGACACCTGTGGCAGGGCTGTTTAATTACAGTGTACACTTCTGAGCTTGGGCTGCAGCCTGGGCTCTAGGACCCTGCAAGGTTGGAGAGTCCTAGAGCTCAGGATGCAGCTTAAGTCTGGAAGTGTACACTGCAGTTAAACAGCCCTGAAGCTGAGCTTCATGAATACAAGTCAGCTGGCACATGCCAGCCTTGGGTTTTTAATTGAAGTGTAGACATACCCTCAGTCTATGGACAGAGTAAGTCACCTCCTCTCCCACACTCATTCCCTCTTATAGCCTCTATCCACCTCAGCTGCAGGAATGTTCTTCCTCTGTGGTACCAGAATTAGTCTGTTGTATCTACGTGCTTTCCAGGCAAGCAGGCTTCATACCTAGATACATCAGTAAATCTGTCTCTTAACTGGCCCTGGTAACAAGCACATGGGACATGAATTGAATACATTCCTGGGTATTGTAAACATATTTTAAACTATAAAATGTCTGCAACTTTTGCCTTTCTCCTGGAAACTTGGATGTTTACTGGGGTTTTACCCTCCTCTTCCTCTAAGACTTAGGAATCTAAGATGCAGCAAGAGGAAAGGGTGATTCTGCTACACAATTCTTAGTGACTCGCAGCAAGTACTACTTTTCCAAGGCATCACCTTGTGACCTAAACAAAGAGACCCTTCACAGAGAGAAAGATCGAGAGGAAGAGACACCTATTTTCCATCCTCAGCTAAGAAGACCTGGGATAGGTCTAGCTCTTGATTTGGTGGACAGGCCATCCTTCAAACCTGTTTGTTTCTTACGTGGTATCACATCAGTGCAGTCTGAGTGAATGGGATGTAGGTCCCAGGGACCTTTCTGGGCCTTCCTTTTTTCAGTTGATACCTTACTCTCTGGGTAATTGTGTCAACTGTGTCCTCTGTGCTGGTGACTCTTCAATCTATACCTGCACTTGTGACCTGTCTCAAATCTCATATTTCAGCCTGCCTCATTCACATTTCTTTCTGGATGTCAAGACAACACTTTCGACTCAGCATAGCTAAAACATCTTCCTCCTAAGCCCTCTTAATTCTCACTGTAGTCATACTACTATGTCTATTCTTCAGGCTTGGAGCATCATCTTCATCTCTTCTCGCTTCTCCATATACATCTAAGTGATTTCCAAATCCTGCTGTTCCCTCCCTCCCCCACCCCACACCCAACTGCTGAGGTGGGAATGGCAGAGCATAGTTGCTACAGTTTTGCTAGAGATGGAGAAGCCTACTTATGAGAACTAAGGGGGCCAACTTATCAAGGAAACTTTCAAGGAAGAACACATTTTTCTTAATAAAAAATAATACTTTTCCTTTTAGAATCTTACAAAAGTTTGGGGGATATTTTATTAAAAATTGTTTTGTAGTTCACCTATACAATATCAGGTGTAAAGTTGTATTAATACTAGTTTTGATATTAAAAAAATATATTCTTTATTAGGCTTTACAGTGGCTAAACTATTTCTGTAGCCACCTACTTGAGCTGGTCCAGTGAGACATTGGGATCAAAACAGGCTACAAAAATGTGCATATTAAATGGTCCATATTCTGCTTCTCTCTCTGGCAGATACCTCTGCTCTCCAATTTATGTAATAAAACAGTGGCGAGCACTGGAAATTCTTTTGTAAAGTTGATAGTGGTTAATTTCTTTAATTGGAATGTAAAACATATATTAAGCGAAACTAAATTGTTACTTCAATATTTTTCAGGTTGTATTTCCCAAGTAGAGATGAAGAACAAAAAAAAATGTATTCCAAATATTGAGGATCAAAAACATGAAGACATGGAAGGTAACTTATGCATGTGTATATATATGTAACTTTTGTGTGTGGTGTCCTATAATAAAGTGACAGTGTTTGGAATTAAAATTTTAGGGAAAACATGAAAACGTTTTATTTCCAGTAGTCAGGTTCAAGCAATGTGCTTAGATTTTGTATTTGATCTTTCTCTGATTTAGTAGATTGTAGGTTGTAGAATTTAATCTGTAAATTTACACTGGTTAGCAAAATTTGGTTGTTTTTTTTTTCTTCTACCTGGGAAGGTCCCTGAATCCTTTACAGCAACATGTTCAACCTGATCACAGTTCTAGAAACAGACCTCTCAGTCAGTTGCAGGCAGGTTAGTAGTGTTTGCAACTTAACCCAGCCAGCCCTGGGTTAGTAGTGTTTGCAACTTAATAGCAATGTAGTTTTAGTAAATTTGAGTAACATCTCTTCATTTGTGTTTGAGTTATGGGTGAGTGGGAGAACATGAAAACACTGTTTTGAGTGAAGGAGTTAATATATTGTGTGAAAACTTTAAAGTTGATGTGTCATGAAACTAGTCCTTTCTGACTATCATGAACTATGGGTTGAATTCAGTTTGGTTTGATTTGAAAATAAGTTTTGATTTAACAAAATTAAGAACGTTGCTGCATTTAGCATGCACAGTAGATATTTTAATAGGTCAGGAGGAAGTCATGTGAAAAAATAATTTTAATTCGAATGAAAGTACAAAAAAGCTAAAGTTAAGGATAGATGTTTTTGTTGATTTACCAGGTATTAGAACGGAGACATGCTTAACTCATCCCATTATGCCCAGACACCACAAGCATGAGTGGGGGCTTAGACAGAAGGGAACTATTTTTACATTGTGCATTGATTCCAAATAAAATAGGGCTAGATTAGTTCAATAATTTAGCTTATCATCCCTCTGTTTATATTTTTTTTAAAACAAATGTAGAGCTAACTTCCATTCCTTTGAATGGAGAATACTGGTAAGGATTATGTGGTTGCCAGGCTCTTCAGGTTTTTTCCAGTCAAGTTAAAATTCCTTTAACATCACTGTTTTGGTCAACAGCTTGACTAAACAACTGAAACATTGATAATTGACTTGCCACTCTGCTCTTTACTACAACTAGATGAGTTGTTACCTTTACAAAAAATACAAGATATTAAACTTGAGTACATCAGGAAGATGCAAATATGTACAGTTAAGAGTTAGCACACTTATTTTTAACTCAAACTGTTGTATTCAAATCTAATGTAGTTCCAGAAATGCACAATAATTGAAAGTGTCAATGTTAATAACAGGTGAAGAGAATGAAGAAAGCTGTTCCTGTCCTACTGCTGTGTTATACGATGAAGCTGACAGGTGCCCGATCTGTCTAAACTGCCTTTTAGAACAGGAGGTTGGTTTTCCTGAAAACTGCAGGCACTTCTTCTGCATGACCTGTATTCTTAAATGGGCTGAAGTAAGTTTCAGAACAAAGATGTAATGTGTTCTGTGTGTCTGAAATCTTTAATGGGAAAAATAACTGATTAGCTGATCAAGTAAAGTAGTCACTAATCACTTTGACCATTTACTTAAATCTCTGAGTATGTGTTCTAATTGGATTCAAATTTTCAAAATTATTTACATTTTCTATTTGAACAGTGAAGAAAGCTACTTACATCAAATTTGTTTATAAATAGTGCTATCAGACTTTCTCAAGACCTCCCACCTCTTGTGATGCCTACAAGAAATTTGCCCGTTAATTATGGCTATTTTGGTGGGTAGATGGGGATAATCTCCACTTTATATTTGCGATTGCTGATTATATAAAAATTGTTCGATTGAATTCCATTCCACTAATTAGTTATACTTCCCTTATCTTACATTGTAAGCCTTTCTGGGCAGGGACATTGTCTTCATAGGTGTGTGTATAGTACCTAGCACAATGGGGCTTCATTTTCTAACTTTCTAGCTTGATGCTGCTCTCCAGGAATTTGTTAAGAAATGTTGCTCCTCCAGATCCTTCATTGTGGTCATATTAAGAATTGACGTGTAAGATTAAAATCACAACCACAATTTCTCTGTTCTATAACCAGTAATTATTTTTAGGTTCTGTTTGCTTGTCTAAAGTAAGTAGAAAACTTTTTTCTGTCCTTAACTTTCTTTTCCGTGGTTTTTAATTCTGTTCTGTATCTAGTGTACACTTATTCAAGAACTGAATCCACTGCAGCAAAACTATTATTTTTCCAAGACTGTCAAACCTAGCTTCAGCTGAAAGTAGGTAAAAGCAGTGGATCATTTCTTTTGTATATTGCTGGCTTGGGTTGCTAGTGTAAAAAAAAAAAAAATTGTTTTCTTAAAAAAAATACTGTCCTTTTGAGTTAGAATTAAGTTTATCTCATTCAGTACAATACAGACCTATGAGAGTTTTCTTCTATACAATCCTCCTTGCTAGAGTAAATGAGATTTTTGGTTTAAATGCATGCTTTACCAGATCACTAATCATATGTTTAGAAAATAAGATCTCTGCCCTTTTGTTCCCCTCTGTAATAGCTTTTCTTATTGTCATTGCCTTCCTCTACTGTATATAGGTATCATCTAGAAGGCCTGATTAGGATTGAGACTTCCATTGTACTAGGCATTATACAAAAGCAGAATAAAAGGTGATTTCTGCTCCAAACAGTTTACAGTCTAATTATCTAAGATAGATAAAGATGTACCTTTTCAGTTTGCTTGTATTCTCTGTAAGTTTTGTTAGTTGCCTAGGGGACCTGTCTGCTTTTTCCATCATGGCTAAAGATAAGTGGGGGGGTGGAGGGCCAACCTCAAATAAATAACTTTATGAAGGTTGCTTTCTCCCCTGGGGCTGTGGGATCCCTTCAGCCCATGTAATTATATAAATATAATTTTAAATTTCTTTGTAAAGTGTGGTGGGGCGATACCAAAATGCCATTGCTGGGGAAATTTATAAGTGGTTTTATAGAAGTATATTTTATATTTGGCCACTAGCAGTATGATAATGTCATATAGTTTTTTTTGTTTTTTTTTTAATTTTGGGTGAAGAAGTAGTTTAATATTTGCTTGCCTACCTTGATCCTTCTGTATGATCATTCATTTATAAATAACCATCAATTACTTTAACTTATGAGTTATGAGAAATCACCCAATTCGGAATGCAGAAGATATTACAATAATGTATCTTCTTTGAAATGTACAATAACTAGTTTTATACCACTGTATACAAGTTCCTGAAGGTTTTAGGTTTATTTTAAAGGCAAAGCTACATGCATGGGGTGGAAAAAAACTAAGGAGTGACCTGAAAATTCTAATCTGAAAGACTCTCCTCTTTCCCCCACTTTCCAAAATGGAGCCTATTTTCAATATATTCTATAAAAACAACTAAGGATAAAAAGTGTTGCTCAACATGACTTGAACTACTGTCAGATTTTTATTTACTACAGAGGAATCAACACTAATATATACACAATGACAAATGACATTTTACAGTTAAGCTCTGCTGTTATTTTAAAAAAACTGAAAATTTAAAAAGAAAGGTTTCCTGATTTCTTCCCAGACTCTGCTCTGATTGTGTGGGGCTAGAGTAGTGTCCTAGGAGAGAAAAGACTAGTACACAGCACTAAGAGAATGTTACTCACCTTGAAATTCTACTTTTGTGAAGCTGTTTTGTAGGATTCTTACTCCTGGATCTTAGCTGGATCTAGTAAGAGTCAGGTGGTACCCACCAAAATTCATTCTCTTATCTGACAGTTTTATCTCACTATGGAACTTAACTACCATCCTGGAACATTTTATTCATTTCCTCCTGACACAGGTCAGCAAGAGGTTTCCCACAGAAGATGCATCTCTTCAATTATTGTTCCTGTTCAGCACCTACTCTGCTTTAGTATCTATTCTGCATGCCCATGTGATTTCTAGTCAGGTCTTGTCCTCCATTATTTAAGTTTTATTTTGGTGACACAACGGCTCTTCAGCCACCACTAGATCAGGAGCATAAATAGAAAGCTAGTTTCTGAAGATCTTAAAGAATCCTCTGTTCTGTTGCATAGGTTCTTCCGTTTGGCACTGAGCACTTTGGAATTGTTACTTCAGCACTTTGGCAAGTAACACAATCTCCCACCAGGGTTTAATCCGTGGGGAAGCAGAGGATAGCTTTATCATGTGGAGGGTAGAGGTGATACAAGGAAGGCTGTAAGGTAAAAGAATAAGACAGAAGGAGAAGAGTGGCAGGGGTTTGTGAGAGGCCAAATCCAATTAAATGGGGGCAAAGGGAGACGAATGCCTAAGAGTGGTAGGAACCATTTTCTCTCTGCAGCAAGAGAACAGCATTACAGTTAATTACATTTACATTTCAGTTAGTTATGAACTTCATTTCCTGTACTAAATTATCATAATCATGCTATGCACCATAAAAAAGCTGATGAGTTCCACTGCAGAGGTGGCTATCTTTTAGTAGTGGGCAAAGTAACTCTTGTACAGTGTTTGTAAAGAGCTGTGGGATCTTTTTGGCATGAAAGGCACTATATGAACATAAACTGTTATATCCATGGTCACACATTATAGAAAAATTGAGTTCTGTGAACTTTTCATATATATGCTATGACCCAAGAAACCTTGAATGCCAGCTGGCCAAGGGGGTTACAAGAATATTCTGATTCTGGTAGGTATATTCCGGTTCCCCAGAGAAAATTGTATGTGGGCTTAAATGAAAGCCAGGGTCACATTGGTCATTGTTGTGAAATGTATGTACAGATGCTATTTAAGGAGTTATGTATGTCTGCTGAAAATATGTTCTGTATCACAGCAGAGGTGGAGAAGCAGGTTTCCTTTCAGACAAAAGATGTTAATTTACATTTTAACAGAGACAGGTAAATAAAGTTTTATCTCATTCACAATTGGTCAACCATCAAAGCTAAATGCAGATGAAGGATTGTAAGAATTTCAGAAAGGAACGAATGGGTATAGAAATACAACAGGGGAAGAGAACCTTATCTTGATACCCTTTAAAGGTTCACTGGAGCATATTTTAGGAACAAAAAAGACATCCCATCATCCTGTACCTAGGAAGTAAAAGTGCAGTGCCTTTACACTCATGAAAATGGGATCATGGACAGTTTTGGTTTGAAGATGCTTCAAAAGGCTGTGAGTGAGGTTAACTTCATTAGACAGGTTAACCTAATATTTAAGTTTAGTCTCTAGAAATGTTATGATTTTTGTTGTAAATATAACCTTTTCTTTCCATTATCCTTATTCACTATCTCTTGAATCATTGGTAATAAACATATTGTTGTTTTCAATATAAATATGTCTAAGTGTTGTGATATTAAGCAAGGTGCTGATCCTGAGTTGAAGTTGATAAACTTTTTTCAGAAACAGTATTTTTTATTCAGTGTCCTTGATACCCCACATCTGTGAAGAAAAAAAAATCTAGATATTTTGGTACATTCTGTTTCACATATGGCAGTTTTGTCCTTATAGAAAAGTTCAATGATTGGATGAAATTGAGTCTGTACATGACAGCTTTTATGATGGTTGGTTAAATCTTACTAGGGTAATAAATGCAAATCAGTTAATATGAGCAAGTTATAACATTGCATGTTTCAAGCAAATTACTTTCATTTTTGTTTTTGTTTTTGTACTTTGTTTAGGGACTCTTAACAGGTTTACATATCCTTGCCATGTAAATATCAGAAACAAAATAATCACTATTAGAGGAACAAGGTAGGTGAGGTAGTATCTTTTATTTATCCAACTTCTATTGGTGAGAGAGACAAGCTTTCGAGCCACAAAGTGCTCTTCTTCAGGTGTGGCTCGAAAGCTTGTCTCTCACCAACAGAAGTTGGTCCAATAAAAAAATATTACCTTACTCGCCTTGCCTCTCCAATATTCTGGGATCAACATGGCTACAACTACACTGCACACAATAATTAGTGTGTCAGTGAGCTTTTGTTTAGACACACATCATATAAGAATATAGCCATCAGATCTTTCTTTAACAAAGTGTTACCATATGACAGAGTGAGCCTCCTTACGCCTAAGACATGTTTCTATTGAACTTATTAAATTGAGTGAAATCTCTGGGCATTGAACAGAATAGGCATGTTTATCAAATATTATTTTTATTTTTTAAAAATGAACAAGTGTGCTGGGTTATTTTACAGGTGAACGTACTTTTTCTGAGTACTGAATAAAAGATAACCAAATATCAAAGTATTCATTTGCCCTCTGTCTATTTTTCTGGGTACGTAATTAGTGTGTTAATTTTTCAGTAACAACTTCCCATATTTATTGCAGCCGAGCCAATCCTCTACGGCAGGACTATTTTTCTTTTTCCCGTAGAGGCTATCAGTAGCTGAGCAGTTAGTAGAGGGTGAGAGATTTCTGCTAAGAAGCCCAGGATAATTAAATGAATTAAAAGTCTAGAAAATTGAGATTTTTTTTCTAGTTTAGAGTAAATCATAATAGATGAAAAATCTTCTTTCAGATTATGGCTTCATGTCCGATTGATCGCAAACCTTTTCAAACAGTATATCAGCTTGGTGCATTAAAATACCATATAAAGGTAAGTCCAAAGTTCTTTTTCAAATACATTTCAATTGTAGGAACTTGTGGGCCATGCTGAAGCCTGTTGTTCATAAATTACTAGGACTCACTAATTAAATACACTGCATTTTTACCAACTATATTTAATATTTGATAACATTTAAGTTGTTTTTAAACAAAAGTTCTTTTTTTTTTCTTAGCTAACTTTTACAGTGATATAGAGTCACAACGCTCTACTTGTGTTTGGATCTCATATGGATCGTTTGACACCCTTCTTGTATCCCCCAAAATAGGCATTTTCCTTGCATCTTATCTTTACTTAAAGAAAATACTTAAGTGTTGTTATAAGCTAACCTTGCATAAATTTGCAAGTAAATTAGCCTTGCTCAGAAAAAGTGCTTCTTGTATGTGCAGGTTTGCTGTTCTATAGAGTCACCAGTAAAAATTGAAATTAATCTCAAGTATCAAGACACTTTGCCGCAACCAGATGGTTGTTTATTGACTAACTGTGAAAGGCTCAGCTGTATACAGCTATTGTGGCGGAGCACACACAGATAGGGTTTTTCAGAGAGTGGTAGTTTTTCAGGTAGTTAGCAAAAAAAATATAAAGTTTTCCTCAGCAGATACAAGCTCATTTGATAAGAGCGTAAGCAATGTCAATAAAATTCCTCAATGACAGTTCCATATTGGACATTTGCAGGGCAGTAATGTGGTTGTCCATACGTACGTTTACAGACCATTATGCTATTGCCGCATCTTCCAGAGTAGACACAAATTTAGGAAAGGCGGTACTACTTCAATAGACTTAGTCCCACCTCCTGGAAGAGGGGTACTGCTTGCAAGTCACCTAAGTGGAATACACATCTGCATCTACTCAAAGGAGAAGAAATGGTTATTTACTGTAACTGGTTCTACAAGATGTGATGTAGACATGTATTCCACTACCCACACTCCATTGCCTCCGCATCAGAGTCGCCTTATATGGGGGTTTGGTGCAAAGGAAATGAGGGCGCAATCTCTGGTTCTGGTGCGCTGGGTGTGCACACACCTAAGTGTATTACATGTCTGTTTCACATCTCAAAGAACCATAGTTACAGTATTCAGAGTAGCAGCCGTGTTAGTCTGTATCCGCATAAAGAACAGGAGTACTTGTGGCACCTTAGAGACTAACAAATTTATTAGAGCATAAGCTTTCGTGGACGACAGCCCACTTCTTCGGATGCTCTTCCTGGTTGGGAAGTAGTACATAATGCTGTTTTTTAACAAAGTTGGGTGGATAGTAATGGAATTACTTGCTATGAAAATCTGAATGTTGATAATTATGTAACCACTTAGATCTTGCAGAATTTAAATGCATGATTGATAAGGCCAGTAAGTCCTTATATATCAAATTAAGATTTATTTGTAAAAATACCTGACAGGACCTGTACGTTTTGGGATCCAAATAGCTATCTCTTAAGGAAGGAAGTTTCATACTTTCCTGGTATAGCTTGTAATAGGAATAAATAAGTCCTTTAGTTTTCAAATAATATTTTTTATGCATTATACTGTGCGCTCTAGTTCCAAGACTGACTTTATTTTTTTTATTGCAGGTTCAGGAGAAGATTCAACTAAGGGAGAAGGGAGAAAAAGAAAACTGCTGCTGCAATAAGGAAAAATATTACCACATGAATACAAAAATCTTTATGAGGTTGGTGGTGCTCTAAATGTAATGTGGTAATATCTGAATCCCAAATATAAATATCGCTGTCAAATTTACAGATTGGAGATAGTTTTGAGTATCTTTTCCAATTTTAATAAGTTTAGATATGGAGTTCCAAATGTCCCATTCTCCCGTAAGTGGTATATAAATTTGACACTGATGTCGTGTCTGCTTGATTGTAGTAAATATTGGATAAAGGGTTAAGAGTCAACATTTGCTGTTAACCATTGAAACCTGGGCTGGGAGGTTCTTCAAAAAGGCAACTAACTGTATGCATGTATGCCTTTTCTAAGTAACTTTATCAAGGCACTAAAGAAATATGGGTAGATTAAAGTGAAATGAAAATATTCTATTCTCCTTTTAATAAAACCTATGAAATGACTTGTAAGAGAACTTATGAATTTGCACATTTGAAAAATCATAGGTTGATATTTTCAAACCAGGCTGGGGATTTAACACATCTTTCATTAATTTTAATGGAGGGGATGTATGGCTAACTCACCTACACTGCTTTGGAAATAATAACTTTAAATGTATAATGGATATGGCCCCTTATGGGGGAAAAGCAATTGCCACCAAAATGGAAGCACTTCCCCTCCATTACTTTGCTAATGGGATCTCTGGCAATACAATCAGATGAACGTAAGTTGTCTGTTTATACATTGAAAGAAACCTGATCATGGATAAAACTGGTGCATATGGCATTGCTTTAAAAAAAGTCATTCATTTTTACTGATCCATATGGAGGAAGGGATGCTAGTGTCCTATTAAATCTTTGTTATATTTTAGAGCCTCTACACCATTGACATAAGCACCAGTTTAGTGGTTTGGCGCTTTACTTAACTCTGTTTATGGTTGTTACTTCCACGTCTGCATGAGCTTATTCAACAGTAAAATAAACTGATTATAAATTAATCTATGAATAGAACAGTGAAGGAGCCACAATGATACTTTGTTGCTTCTTATTTCAACTGAGTTATGATTCCAGAACTTACAGTAGCTCAGAAAGCAATTAGCAGCTGTTTCTCCGATATGCAAGCATGCAAATCTAAAAATTACGAAGTTTTATGTGCCAAAATATAGTAAGCAAATTCACCAAGTGCTGTATACTGGATTCTTAAAATAAACTAGTTTATTTGTAAACCAGTGTTGATGTATTTTCCTGAATAAAATTTTAAACTCCCTTTTTAAATTGTAAATTTCTAAAACTATTAAAAGATTAACTGCAAAGGTTTTGCTGAAAATTAAAAACATGCAAGATCTTCACTTGGTGGTCTTTGAAAAATGGTAACAAATAAAATAGTCTGTATACCCATTACATTGTTTCGCAATGGTTCTCAGATTGATTTGGGAATTGATAATATAGTGAGAGTTTTGATTCTCTGCAATTATGAAACGAATTGCTTGAAACAGGGCCAGTTAATGCAAAATTTTGCATTGCAGATGATGTGAAGTTGCAAATCTTGGCTCTGATCCTGCAGTCTGATCCTTAGCAATCCAAGTGCTTTAAACTTACCAAGGTTTTAAAGCTGTTTAGGGCAGTGATGGTGTGTGTCTAGTGCAGCAGAAACCATAGGTGCTATTGCAAATAACTCTTCATTAATATTACAGAAGGGATGCACGTGCTGACAAAGGACCATTAATAGAAAAACTCTGTAAAGATTTGAAGAACTACAGTAAGTTGATATTTTTCTTTCTCTTGTTACTGTTAGAGCCACCTGGATCTCATCCTCATATTCTGTGATTACTTTCTTTCCTTCGTTTTCATAATTCTTTTAAGATTCTATCAGTCTTGTATCACTTACATTTACAAATGGAACCCATCTTTCTATTGCTCAGAATTTGGATGAAAAGGGAAAATTTATGTTTATGGTAGAAGTATATATACACTATACCATGCAAAGTTAATATGACAGCTTTCGTTTTAATCATAATGAAACTGGCATATATCACAAATGAAATGGATTTGGTTTCAACCTACCAGGTGGTGTTCTGCATCATGGAACCACTGCACAGTTTATCAGAATTCAACACATTGGCAGTCTCTGCTAAGAGGAAGCCCACAGCTAGGTTATAGCAGTTCAGTACTGAGTTGCTTTAGCAGTATTTTGGGGGAACATTTTCAGAGAACCTTTCTCTAGTTAATAGTACCAGCATCGCTCTGTTTAGTTCACAAAATTCATCCAAACCTTTGAAACAGTAACCTGCTTGGGGAAAAAGCCATTATCAGATAGCTTAGAAAGTAAACAGTATTAAAGAGATTTTAAAAAATTATTAATCTAAGGTGCTACAACAGTTATTTTAAAAAGTTTCCTTTACTTGACAGTAGCCATTTAAATCTGATATAATGTAGAGACAAAATTGCAAGATGACATTTTCTTTGTTGACACGATTTATAGCTATTAATAAAATAGAGTTAAAGTTGGCTTGGGATATTGAAGTTAATCTGTTACAGTACATCTACATTGCAAAAAAAAACCAAAAAGAACTTAGCACTGAGTTTCAGAGCCCAGGCTAATTGACTCAGGCTCATGGGCCTCGGGTTGTGGGACTACAAACTGCAGGTCAGATGTTCAGGCGTAGGCTGGAGTCTGGGCTCCGAGTCCCTGAAGGGGGGAGGTCTCAGAGCCCAGGATCCAGTCCAAGCCCAAGCATCTAACCCGCAGTTTGTAGTCCCACAAGCCCAAGTCAGCTGACGCGGGCCAGCCGCAGCTGTGCCATGGGTCTTTTATTGCAGTGTAGACATACCCTTAGATTGTCTCTTGAAGTGATTGGAAAACATTCTCTTTATCTGGTGGTGAAATGAAGGCTTTATGGACCTTCATAGAACTTCAAGCAGAAGGTCCATAAAGCCTTCAAACTTAAATCATCTTCTGTATATCACAGGCCATTAAATTTCACCCATTTATCTTGTACTGAGCCCAGTAACTTGTTTAATTAAAAACATACCTTCCAAAAAGGCATCATGTCTTGATTAGAAGACATCAAGAGTTGTAGAATCCATTACTTCCCTTAGCAGTTTGTTCCAGTGTTTAATCATGCTCACTGTTAAAAATGTGTGCCTTATTTCCTGTTAGAATTTGGCTGGCTTCCGCTTCCAGCACTGGTGCTTGTTATGCCTTTCTCCACTAGATTAAAGAGCCCTTTAGTACCTGGTAATTTCTCCCCATGGAAGTATACACTGAGCAAATCAGCTCTCAATTTTCTTTTTGATAAACTAAACACATTGATCTATGTAAGCCTCTCATTGTAAGGAATTTTCTCCAGCCTTTGAATCATTTTTGTGGCTCTTCAGAACCTCAGAACTCCAAGTGCAATTAATGGAAATTGTATGCAAGGACATTTTATTAAATTAGCCTTGTATCTTGACACTATTGTCACTTTTTTCAATAATCCATGAGTTCACATATCCTTTCATAGTGTTGGCCGTAACTAAATGGAAGAAATATTATGTCATGGATCCCTTTCTCTCTTATTCCCAATTTTGTATCACCTCTCCTCCCATTCATTATTGCATATCATCCTGGTGGCAGGTATAGCCATTGCTATGTATTTATTTTATTTTATTATTTCTATTACCATCATATTAGGAAAGTGGTGTTGTATTTTTCACTGTCCGTTAAGGTAGTTTAGTGGTTGGTAATAAGGAGAGCTATTACTTTGACTAGCTCGATCTCTGTGGTCTATAAGCAATTGGTCTATGAACAAGTTTAAGAACTGCTTTAATAATCTATTTAGTTTCTAAATAAAAACTCAATAACTTTGGTAATCTGGAATGCATAAATTTAGTTCTATTAGCATCTCTCCAATTGACTGCTGAGAAATTCTTTGTGGAAAAGTATATCACAACATAAACATAGTTTGATCAGCCTCTCTCTCTCTCGATGAGATTGTATGTGTATGTTATGAGCTATATACATTAATGGACTACTCAGTATTTCATTTTCCATTCTTATATGCGCTAGTAGCAATTTCCTCAAAGCAATTCCCAACAGTTTTTACTGGTTATTCTCCATAAATTACTTCTTGGCTCTTGCCGGTAACAATAAAAAAAGTATTTGGAGAGAGTCTCACTTGGCAGTGCATACAATATTGCTGTTGCATTAATGCTCTTAAATGTATAATTAAAAAAGAGCAAAATGTGTTAAAATTGAGACCAAAGTGTGTCCTCTTAATTTTTGTACAGGTGGTATTTCAGATGATGAAAGAAATAAGGAAACTGCATCTGTGAAGATAAACAAGGTTTGTTCAAATAACTGGAGGAAATACCTTGGTTGAAACTAACTAGGAAGTGAAAGTCTCAAGTTTTTTTTATATTGTAAACTATTTTGAAAGTTAACTTGTCTATTTTGTCTAAAATACTGCATATCTGTAGTTACTTAAATCACTTGCCCTTTTTTTTTTTTTTAATACTGGTTATGTGAACTTTTTCCTTTGACAGTCTACCTGCAATACAGTTTTGTACTGGTACATTTTGTTCACTTATACTAAAATGTCACAAGGGTACCCTGCAATTACCTAAAAGTGAGTTGCAATATAGTTCCATGTCTCAGATTGTGGCAGCTGGAGTGCTCAAAGAAAGTTCTTCTCTAAAGAAAAATAGTTTGGAACTTTATCTTCTCACCAACTTGAGGCATCAGTCACAAGCTCTTAGGCAAAGAAATTAAAATATAGAAGTCACAGAGAGAGGAATGCCTGAATCAGCAGGTGTAATTAACCAAGTAATTTGCTATGCAAATGAACATTCAAATTTAGAAAAACTCCATTTTTATGAGATTATCTGAAGATAACCAATTAGCATCTTCCAGTTCTTTTGCTTTCTTCGTATAATTTAATGTTACACCAAAGGTTCAGAGCCAAGGTTACAAGAAGCCATGAAGTCTCCAGCCAGTTTCTTTCTTTTCATAGCTAGCTGTGATCATAGAGACCTTCACTCTGTGTCCAGAGTTTTTCTTGGATTTTGCCTAAGAATTCTTTATTTGCTGTTAGTTACATTAGACAGTTACATTTTTAAATGTATCTGTATCATGCATAGTTTAGGTTTCATGGCCCCAGTTTTCCTGGTGTAAGATCCACATACCTGGTGTCTGGTGGGCCTTGAGGATATTTGTTTTCTGGATCATTGTTTCTGGTGTTGGGCCTTTACCTCTTGGAGCCCAAAAGTAATTCCAGGCTTTCTCTTCCTGTGATATCCCCCACAAGCCAGGTCTTTTGATCTGTTTGTTGGGGTCTCATTCCCAAGTAGATACGAAGTTATCATTCACGCACTTAGAAGCATCTGAAGTCGGGGGAAAAGGCCTTTGATGTCAGATCGGTCCCTTAATCTGGCTCTGGGGTGGATGAATACTTCTTAATAGAAGGCAATATGCCACATACATAAGGTACCCAGTCTTTCTGCAGCAGAAATCAATGGAAAAAAGACTCCTTTTAATATCAGTGGAAGAGATACAGAGTTCAGAATTATCCAAAACAAAAGTATTTGTTGTTTACATACAGCACCTATTTACTTTAAATATAGCTAGTTTTCAAGGATATTTAACTATATGGGAAGAGTGAAAGGATGGCAAGGCATTGAGACTAGTGATTCTAGCTATACCTTCACAAGACATTATGTCGTAGTGCAAGTTTCCATAGCAAATGCATCCTTTGGTTTGACAGTCCTTCAGACATCAATACTGCACAGGTCCTCACATCTTCCTCCTCAGTGAGTACTGTCTCAGTTACCCACAGTGGAATACACATAGGGAGTTGAAGAAAGAGGTTCTTACCTTGTATGGTAACTGGAGTTCTTTGAGATGTGTGGTCCATGACTGTATTCCACTACCTGCCCTCCTTCCCCTCTGCTTCAGATTCTTGACTCATGATTTGCAGTAGAGGAGAGGCAGCCAATCCACACACCCCTTCTACTCTCAGTTCAGAGCACAAGGAGATAAGGAGTGTAGTCACAGACCAACAGATACTGCTAGCAAAAATCTTCCAGTCTTATCACGTGTAGCCACAGTAAAATGCAGGTATGTACCACATGTCTCAAAGAACTGCAGTTACTATACAAGGAAGTGACCTATTTTTGAATTTTCCTCTTATTTAAAAAGAAAAATTAAATACTTGAAATTGAAACAAAACATTTAGTTTTCCTTCAAACACATAATCTATTTTTGCATTGTTCTCAAGTGAACAGCAGCGTCACTTTGTAGTTTTCAGAATGTTTGAAACATGAAATCTTTACTCTTTGTCCCGGCAAGAATGGAATATTGATTATTAGGGCTGTCAGTTAATTACAGTTAACTCACACGATTAACTCAAAAAAATTGATTTCAGTTACAGCACAGAATACAAAGTGTATAGTGCTCACTTTATATTATTTTTTTATTACAAATATTTGCACTGTAATGGAATGGTGGTTGAAGCATGAAGGGACATATGAATGTTTAGCGCATCTGGCACGTAAATATCTTGTGATACCGGCTACAACAGTGCCATGCGAACGCCTGTTCCCACTTTCAGATGACATTGTAAACAAGAAGTGGGCAGCATTATCTCCTGCAAATGTAAACAAACTTGTTTGTCTGAGTGATTGGCTGAACAAGAAGTAGGCTCTAAAGTTTTATATTTTATTTTTGAGTGCAGTTATTCTTTTTATATAATTCTACATTTGTAAGTTCAATTTTCATGATAAAGAGATTGCTTTACAGTACTTGTAGGAGGTGAATTGAAATACTATTTTGTTTGTTTCTTTTTAACAGTGCAAATATTTGTAATCCAAAAGTAAATATGAAGTGAGCTCTGTACACTTTGTATTATGTGTTGTAACTGAAATAAATATATTTGAAAATATAGAAAACATCAAAAATATTTAAATGATATTCTATTAATATTTAACAGCGCAATTAATTTTTTAATCGCTTGACAGCCCTATTGATTATTCAATTTTTAATCTGGTGTGCATTTTATAAACTGCAATAGTGGGCTGTTGAGACTCCTGCATTGTTGGGTTATTCATAGGAATAAGAACTTCGAAATCTGCCTCCTGTTGCGGTTATTACTGAGACCCTTTCTTGTAAGCAATTGTGGATAAACTTTGATGGTTCATTTTTACTAAAGTTGTGAGAAATATTTGCTAGTATAATATACATTTTTATGTTCATGTACTGTAGCATGAACTTACCTATGAACTCTGCAATCAATTGCTGATTTGTATCATGTCTCTCTGAATTTAAAAATAAAAATTCACAATTGCAAAAGCAAACTGCCACAGTTACGATAAATGTAATTTTTTTATGTACTGGTGATATTTATTATCTAGCACCAAAAATGCAATAGGCAATTTATGGACAATAGGAAAACGAAGTATGTACCAAGGACCTTAGTGGATTTAGTTATCCCACCATCCAAAAACTTCATAGAATTTAAGTTCAGGCTGCTTATGTGCCAAACTCATTATCGCAATCACTGAAGAGCAAGGACATCTCCAATTTCGGCAACCTGATTGAAGATGCTGTAACACCACACATGATATTATGCACTCACTGACAGACTCTGCACCTCCACAAGATGGTTCTTGACGCTTCTAACTTGCTCAGCAACACAATGAATGCACAACATTCCTCTAGATTGTACTCAAATACAAAACAACCTCAACAACAGTGTAACATTTTCTGTGGTGATATGAGCAATTAATAAGCGTACGTGGTGGTTGTCCATGGGGAAACATGAGGTTGGAGTTAGTTTTTTGCATTCAGATAAAAAGCAACAGGGGGGTCCTGTGGCACCTTTAAGACTAACAGAAGTATTGGGAGCATAAGCTTTCGTGGGTAAGAACCTCACGTGGGTAAGATGCATCTGAAGAAGTGAGGTTCTTACCCACGAAAGCTTATGCTCCCAAT